TAGACCAATTTTTTTCGCCATTACAATATACTTCCCCGCCAATGGGATGAGTAGTAAATTCCGTTCAGCACAGGTCGTATTATTATTCGCAATGTTATCTTGAAACTCTAATAAAACAGTTTTAAACACTGGATAAATTACATGCCGATTGAGGAATAGGTTCTCATTTCCGTTGAGAACTTTGTTCTTGCTGACTGAAAATAAAAAATTCGTATCACAAGCGATCTCAGAAATTAATCGAGTAGACATCTAGCGGCGAAAATGCGAAGTTATGCAGTCACGAGATTACCGTTTCTTCTTGATGGGCATATCGACGTTTCAGAATCTTTCCTAATTGGCTTGTCGGTCGGTAGATGTCGCTGAGCGTTTTAGCATATACAGGGGATATGTACTTACATGGGAGGATGTTGGAAGAGGCGATTTTAAATTTGAGAAAATGCAAATATATAATTGAAATACATATTTAGTAATTCAACCCGCCAAAAATCTTATACCAAAATAAAGTTTAAAAAAGGGTGACCCAAAAACTTTGAAAATGTACAGAGGGATTTTAATTTAAAAACCACTTGAAATTTCGGGATATGAAGCATATTTTTAGGAAAAGTTTGCTAATCTATTTGCAAAGTGTGTGATTTAAAGGCTGTTAAATAAGTTGAGTATTATTTCAACCAAAATATCGCGTAGCGTCAACCAGCCCTGTAGATATCGGTATTTTTCTATTCAATCGGCGTTTGAGATTATACTTAAATTTTCAGGGTATTACATTAAAAAGAATGTGCCTCCTGGTTATATCACTCTATAATAGAGGGCGGCATATTTTTCAAATGTAGAACACTCATTCTGAGGGAATACCGATGAAATAACTTGACGCTCTTCGGTTTACGAAGGTTTATCACAACAAAAATGTAGTTAACAATACTTCGTGAAATGTCTGTTTCTGTTCTAGTAATAATAATCATCCTCGCGTTCCTGGTCGGTAACAAAAACTATAGATTCTCCGCGCTGCCGGTAAGGTAGGGCCTGGCCTATAGCAACCAGGTGATGAGTTGAGGCGCCGCTCGCTAGATGGCGCGAGAAGCATTGATTGGGATTTCTGGTGGGTAAGCATGACACCCAGTAAGGAGTTATTTTGCCTATAATTTTTAGGAATACCTTTTTTTAAAAATCTTATGTTAACGACTTCGCCCGCACTACAAATTCAATGATCAGTCGTCTAATCAAAACTATATCAGCGGTGTACCTATATGGATTGATGTTCGCACCAATACGGTTTTAATCATCCTTTTAAACTAGATAATAATGGGATTGATTAAAATCCGCACACACGCAAAATGACCTCGTTAAATAGTGTGAGTGTGAGATTGCCGGGTTAAAGGTGATAAAAGCTACACGTAAAACCGATGAATCATGGCTTATTCAACCTTTCCCCTATTCACATAGCACCTTCCCACAAAGGAATGTTACTAGCGAAATAGATATAGTGGAACTGCTGATGTTTGAGGTGTGTTTACGTACGAGATCAACATGGAATACAGGAAAGTAGTGAGTAGGTGCGTCTGGCAACTGGCAACCCATATCCCTGAGCGGTATTCGCCATCCCGGCATCAATAGAGAATAAAGGTCGTTTATCCTGGCAGAGGCTGAGCCAGCGGCCGCCAGACAGGCTCCACGGCTCCAGCTTCGTCCAGACGTTATTTTTTATCCTGTCGCCACGTCGGCATTCAGGACGAAGACAATTATGCCGATAGTATAAGTAGGAAATTGAACGCTGCCGAGAAACCGATGCCAGCCTACTGGATATGTACTCTGATCGAGCATATTTGAGAAAAGGGCGTCAAGTAGATTGACTCTTTACGCCTTCGTTGGAGGTTTCGAAGAAACGGGACGAGTCAAGTCGTATCACAAGGCGGAATTGAATCGTGATTAGTTAGGTTCACTTAGGTATATCAGCATAACAGACTAATTAAATCATAATTAAACAATTCTTGGGAATTTTTCTTAAATGCAAGTCAAAAAATTTTAAAAACAACTGCGAAAGTTTCCCGCCAAGTCGATATAGACATACCATTGTAAAAAAAGGTTAAGTTGAAAAACGCTACTCTTAGCGACACTTCGCCTTTTTGTACTTTCGTACGAAATAAAGCCCATTTATATTTATATATTTACATTGTTTGGTCTCCAACTGATAAAGAAGAAATCACGAAAGTGATAACCTGTTAATATGATAAAATAAATTGCTGACTAGATCGCAGAGCCTCTATCTTTTATTATAAATATCTTTTTCACGAATGGGACTTTTCCAGATCATCTAAAAAATGCTCTAGTAAAGGTTATTCATAAAAAAATGTTGATGGTGAGAGAAATTACAGATTACAGCACTTTATTAGATTTTATTCTTCTTCTTCCTTTATCTTTATTTAGATTTATTAATTTAATGCGGGTATGGATAGTTATAAGGAGATCATATTTCCAAAGGTTCCCCATAAAGTTTGTACGGCAAAAAGTGGCGATCGGTCGGTCGCCAACAGAGCTTTTTGGCAATATTGGTGCCGGTAGTATTTCCTCTCGTATTTCGCCGTTATTACGAGTTGTTTACAATCCTGGATAAAGCGACGACGTAGTGATGCATATCGGAAGTGTTTTTCTTGTAAATAGTGGGGACAAAACGCAAGCACCTTGGGAGTAAATTGAGTTCACGAAGTAAGATATTATCGGTGTGAAAACAGAAAGGCACTAAAAAGGATCGATCGAGATCATTTTGCGCTGTGTTCAATAAATGACATTTTAGTATTCCATTCGTATTCTCCAAAGGTGCTGATGACTGACTGAAGATTTCCTGCTACTGAGTTGTACCATCTATGTTTTGACTTCGTTTTCGAAAAATACAGCACATCCTCTTGTAGTTATATGTATCTCGATTTCCGATATTTATTTTTCTACAAAAGCTGGCGACAAATCTCAACCGAACATGTGCATAAATAATAATTATCTGATAAAGGACACTCGTATCATTTTCAGTATGCCAATGAGTGTAGATAAGTTATTCTTTGTTTATTTAAAAATTAACATGATTAGGTGATGATATAATCACGATGTTACACTGAGGAGTCGTTAAGGTTAGAGGGGTAGAGAAGTTAAATTTTTCAGAAAAACCATAAGTATATGGTAAAGGAAACTTGCAGAAAAATTACATATAACAAATGTTTCGTGAATAACAAAACTGTACGTTCTATTTAAACGCTGCTGTAAATATATATATATATATATAAAGAGGACTCTTTATACTTTTTTTAATTCTCTCTAGCTTTCAATGGACTTTGCCATCATCATCAGGAGCTGCAATTACAATGATAACAGTAGCAACAAAAGTGTAAAATGAATTTATATTGACTCAACTTACAGTAGTATGTGAGGATGTTGCTAATTGTTGTTTACGTATAGGATGAGGGAAACGTCCAGTAACATGGTGAGAGCTGGAGAGATGGTGCAATGGTCAAAATTATATAAAATATGACAAGAACAAGTTAAAAACAGATTAAAAATTATTTAAAAACATTAGAGCATTACATCGTGAAGCCACTTGATGATTGCACAAAATGGTGGTCATGGAATAACGAGTGAGATGAACCCTTTGACAGAAGGCCGAAGGTTGTCAATGTCTGTGTTGAAAGATGGAACGAATTGTGGGCGTGTGCCAAACGTTGCCAAATCACTTCAGATGATGTGATTTTCAGAATGTTATGTAAGAAATTGTTAAACCGACCAGAGGCAGTTGAATAAACTATATTTTAATTGATGGGAATTTTAAATTAATAATTATTAATAAATCGTGAGAAGAGAATTATTAGATTTTGAGTGGAATGAAATTTACTGGTGGAATCGGCCAAAACACAGATTCTATTTATGGTTGTAAAGAGTCGAAATTTGGGGAGATATGTAAGTTCTCCAATTTTTCGCAGTTTAGCAAATATGAGTAAATGACACTGAGTTGTTTAACATCTGTCTTTTTGTTGATACAGTTGTTATTCATGAAAATGTGGGACATTTCCAGGAATAACCGTTTGGAAAGGTGTTTTTCTTTATCAAGAACTTTGATACTTGTGTAATTCATAGAATGCCCTGTTGTGTTAACATGAGATGCTAGAGCGCATCTTTCAGGATGAAGCCTAGCATCACTTTTGTGTGATGTAATCCTTCCTTTAAGAGATCTGGAGGTCTGACCTATGTATATTTGGTTGCAGTTGTTGCAATTGATGGAGTAGACAGTGTTGGTTAAGCCAAGCAGCGGGACTTTGTCTTTCATTTTTGAAAAAATGCAATTTATAGTGAGGACGGATTACCCCTGACGCCTAAGCTGATCAGATTGTGCAGTCCTTTGAACTTTCGAATTGCTTGCAAATCCCTCCTATATATATATATATATATATATATATATATATAACTTGAGACGTGGTCATTGTCGTCTAGACCAGTTAGGTGAAAAATTAAAGCTTCCGCCTTTTGTTGGGTACTTCGACAAAATTTAAGCAAAGAGGATTATACTTTTTTTATTCTCTCTAGCTTTCAATGGACTTTGCCAGGCAAGTTAATGTTGAAACTAGCCACCATGACTCTCCATGCAATAATAAAGATTTTAGGGTTGGTGTCGCCCCCGCCCAGGGGGCTGGACGTGTTAACGTGATTTTTTGCCAAACTGGTGTCTCCCATCGAAGGAAAATACTATGTGTATCAGAATCATCTAAAGGAGCTTAAATAGACATGAAAATCGGCGGCATTATAGAGGAGAACCCAAAAGATCAAACTTCCTTGCTATACGATAGACAAGAAAACTATTTAAAATTGTTGCATTATCTCATAAACAATGATCTGTATGGGGTGTAAGATTGATTCTTTCCGTTCGTGAAAATCATTTCAATGATTTTTTTATTCCGCCTAGAAATGGATTACGACTGTTTCTTGTCTCTACCTAAGATTAGAAGCATTCAAAAAGTGGCACTTACGTGTAGTTTATTCTCCAAATGCACCGGATGAACGTCAATAAACTGTGGTGGTATCGGCCTTCCTCCCAGCTCCTCCTTGAACGGAGATTTTGGATCCCTTCTTTTTGATTTTTCTTTATCGCTCTTTTCGATTTCGTGGTGACCTTTTTCTATGGCGTCGCCATGATAGTCCCTGAAACAAAATGTAAAAGATACAAAGTCCATACGAAATTCTTAATATACCCAAATAGAACTGCAGCGGTCTGATGGTAGCGAGCACCAACCAACATAATGCAAATCTAGTTAGTTGTTGCAGAAAATATTTTATATCCGTGTTCCATATAACGTTCTAAAAGTTTTGGCACGAAATTCATTGACTATAATTTTAACAAACACAAAATGGTATCAAGTTTCATTTGGAAACAAAAGTTTGTTTACTTACTTTACTGTCGGTTGTCATTTATTTATTTTGAAGTGTTCGCAGAACCATTTATCGAACATAGCGGAGTTCGAGCAGGGAATAGCATGTCTGAATCTCCCAAAAAGTGGAAGACCACGCGCATTTACTGCACAGAGGTCGGAGAGGTAGGCGAGAAGAGCAAAAAATCGGGTTGGAATGTGAACAAGGAGACTGGTTCGTCAATACGGATCAGCTAAGAGTACGATATCGTTGGAATTGAGGGGGTATGGTCTTAACTATCGAAAGAGACAAGTGCCCGATAGAGGATTTTTGGGCTATACTGTCTAGGAAGGTTTATCATGGAGGCTAGGAAGCCCAAGATGAAGAACAATTAGACGGCGAATTTACGGAAAACTGCTATCAGTTTCTATAAATTGATCTGAATTCCGTCCAGGACCGCAAGAGAAACATTCGATGAATGTTGCGTCTGGTAAAGCAGAACTACCACAACTTTTGTCAAAAGGAATTTTTACTGAGTGGTGGTAGTAGAGATTTGAGATTACAAGCTACATTTACATGAAAATATCTACGTTTTCTGCTTCAAGCTATTATTGTCTATTGTACATCTAAGATTGCGGCAAACATCCCTCATATCAACATATGTACAGGGTTTGTCCGGAAAGTGATAGGACTGAGTCGATTTAAAAAAATTTATTGAGCCAATCGTTACAATAAAAAAAAATCAAAATAGGCTCCTTCTGCGTCGATGCAGCGCTGCCAGCGCGATTTCCAAACATTGAAGGCGGGAGGCATTCTCCGGAATAGCCTTGAGAGCCGCGGTGCATACTGCTTGGATCCCCTCTGTCACAAAAAAAACTCCGGGGGCCACAGCGGCTGCGGAAGCGTTGGGATGCCGGCCTTGGTCAGGTAGCTGTTCACAAGAAAGGCGGTGTGAGCCTTGGTGCAACTTCCATTCGGCTGCGATGTCTTGTCGGACCCGACTGACCCTTCGTTTGAGTCTCCTGAGCCATTCCACGTAAACCTTGGCGTTGACGGTTTGTCCAGGAGGAACGAATTCATGGTGGACGATGCCTTTGATGTCAAAAAAGACAATGATGATCGTCTTCACTTTGGATTTGCTCATTCTTCCCTTTTTTGGGCGAGGAGACGCCGTCGTATGCCACTGGGAAGATTGCCTCTTTGTCTCGGGATCATACTCAAAGATCCACGACTCGTCACCTGTGATTACGTTTTTCAAAAATTGGGGGTCACTTTCACGCATGTTCAAATTGTCTTGGCACACTTCCACTCGCCGCAATTTCTGGTCGTCAGTTAGCACTTTTGGGACCACACGAGTCATATTATCGGTGTTTGTCGAAGTCGAAGGTCTTCCAATACGGTCTTCATCAGCGACCTCTTCCCGGCCATCCAAGAAGGCCTGGTGCCACCGAAACACACCACTTCTTGCTAAAGCAACACCTCGGTAAGCCTGCTTGATCATATCAAACGTCTCTGTCGCAGATTTACCGAGTTTCACACGGAATTTAATCGCGTACCTCTGCTCTAACGAACGCTGAAATGAGTCCTATTACTTTCCGGACAAACCCTGTACATTCATGTCAAGCTATCATCCGAAGTTCCGGAAACATTCTAATGTCGGCTATATATTTAACTTCAAATTTACGACGCTTCGCTTCCGCAGTATCTAGCTGGCCGTTTACATGGCCTACTGCACTTATCTGGGCGAATTTATCAGCACGATACAGGATTCGGATAGAGCGGATAAAAATATACACATATTATCATGCGAAGCGCGTATCTCCCTTAGTTGGTGAACTTTTCAAATAATAGTTTCAAACGATTTTATTGAGAAAAGATGGTGTCGAGTAGATTTACTCTATACTTCCTACGTGTTCGTTGGAACTGTCAAAGAAAAGAGATGATTCAAATCTTTTCCAAAGGCGAAATCGAATCGTGATTAGGAAAGTTCACTTAGGTGCGGTCACAAAACACCAAGAGGTTAACATAAATCATGTAATTCCTTATCAAATAGCGCTTCTATCAGCCATTGTACTGCTCACTGTAAGCATGATATTCCTCAGCGACATTACAAAAAAACCTGAGTTTCTGTAGGACTTTTATTACATTTCTTTTCAAAAAATCAACTTCTTTCGTAACAGTGCATATGTGGTTAAAATTTGTCGGATAAGTTGTGAAACACCTTGTACTTAGAACAGGTTCTAAGAAATTTTGCACTCAGTTTGTTCATACAAAATTATTCAGTAAATTCTGTCTGACACTATCCTCAATTTTGTACCAACTTCAACGTACTAAAATTAGCAAAAAAAATCGTATCGCTTTCTCGGCATTCCTTCGATAGTTCCTCTAGATCTCCAAGCAAGTAGGCGGCGTCACCATATGACAAACGTCAACGGTGTTGCCGACGCTTAACAAGAACCTCCTACTTCTTCAGCCTTATATATGTTTTTTGTGTTGTTGTAAGAACGAATAAAGTTTGTCGAGGAAGCGCAGTAGCTTAACTTGTAAAAACGTCAACGGTGTTGCCAACGCTTAACAAGCACCTCCTACTTCTTCAGTCTTATATGTTTTGTCTGTTGTTGTAAGAACGAATAAAGTTTGTCGAGGAAGAGCAGTAGCTTCTCTTGTAAAAACGTCAACGGTGTTGCCGACGCTTAACAAGCACCTCCTACTTCTTCAGTCTTATATGTTTTGTGTGTTGTTGTAAGAACGAATAAAGTTTGTCGAGGAAGAGCAGTAGCTTAAATTGTAAAAACGTCAACGGTGTTGCCAACGCTTAACAAGCACCTCCTACTTCTTCAGTCTTATATGTTTTTTGTGCTGTTTTAAGAACGAATAAAGTTTGAGGAAGAAGAGCAGTAGCTTGCTTGTCTTGTAAAAACGTCAACGGTGTTGCCAACGCTTAACAAGCACCTCCTACTTCTTCAGTCTTATATGTTTTGTGCACTGTTGTAAGAACGAATAAAGTTTGTCGAAGAAGAACAGTAGCTTCTCTTGTAAAAAGGTCAACGGTGTTGCCAACGCTTAACAAGCACCTCCTACTTCTTCAGTCTTATATGTTTTGTGTGTTGTTGTAAGAACGAATAAAGTTTGTCGAGGAAGAGCAGTAGCTTCTCTTGTAAAAACGTCAAAGGTGTTGTCAACGTTTAACAAGCACCTCCTACTTCTTCAGTCTTATATGTTTTGTGTATTGTTGTAAGAACGAATAAAGTTCGTCGAGGAAGAGCAGTAGCTTCTCTTGTAAAAACGTCAACTGTGTTGCCAACGCTTAACAAGCACCTCCTACTTCTTCAGTCTTATATGTTTTGTGTGCTGTTGTAAGATCGAATAAAGTTTGTCGAGGAAGAGCAGTAGCTTCTCTTGTAAAAACTTCAACGGTGTTGTCAACGTTTAACAAGCACCTCCTACTTCTTCAGTCTTATATGTTTTGTGTGCTGTTGTAAGAACGAATAAAGTTTGAGGAAGAAAAGCAGTAGCTTCTCTTGTAAAAACGTCAACGGTGTTGCTAACGCTTAACAAGCACCTCCTACTTCTTCAGCCTTATATGTTTTGTGCGTTGTTGTAAGAGAGAATGAAGTTTGTCGAGGAAGAGCAGTAGCTTCTCTTGTAAAAACGTCAACGGTGTTGCCAACGCTTAACAAGCACCTCCTACTTCTTCAGTCTTATCTGCTTTGTGTGTTGTTGTAAGAACGAATAAAGTTTGTCGAGGAAGAGCAGTAGCTTAACTTGTAAAAACGTCAACGGTGTTGCCAATGCTTAACAAGCACCTCCTACTTCTTCAGTCTTATATGTTTTGTGTGCTGTTGTAAGAACGAATAAAGTTTGTCGAGGAAGAGCATTAGCTTAACTTGTAAAAACGTCAACGGTGTTATCAATGCTTAACAAGCACCTCCTACTTCTTCAGTCTTATATATTTTATGTGTTGTTGTAAGAACGAATAAAAGTTTGTCGAGGAAGAGCAGTAGCTTCTCTTGTAAAACCGTCAACGGTGTTGCCAACGCTTAACAAGCACCTCCTACTTCTTCAGTCTTATATGTTTTGTGTGTTGTTGTAAGAACGAATAAAGTTTGTCGAGGAAGAGCAGTAGCTTCTCTTGTAAAAACGTCAACTGTGTTGCCAACGCTTAACAAGCACCTCCTACTTCTTCAGTCTTATATGTTTTGTGTGTTGTTGTAAGAACGAATAAAGTTTGTCGAGGAAGAGCAGTAGCTTCTCTTGTAAAAACGTCAACGGTGTTGCCAACGCTTAACAAGCACCTCCTAGTTCTTCAGTCTTATATGTTTTGTGTGCTGTTGTAAGAACGAATAAAGTTTGCCGAAGAAGAGCAGTAGCTTCTCCTGTAAAAACGTCAACGGTGTTGCCAACGCTTAACAAGCACCTCCTACTTCTTCAGTCTTATATGTTTTGTGCACTGTTGTAAGAACGAATAAAGTTTGTCGAAGAAGAACAGTAGCTTCTCTTGTAAAAACTTGAACGGTGTTGCCAACGCTTAACAAGCACCTCCTACTTCTTCAGTCTTATATGTTTTGTGTGTTGTTGTAAGAACGAATAAAGTTTGTCGAGGAAGAGCAGTAGCTTCTCTTGTAAAAACGTCAAAGGTGTTGTCAACGTTTAACAAGCACCTCCTACTTCTTCAGTCTTATATGTTTTGTGTATTGTTGTAAGAACGAATAAAGTTCGTCGAGGAAGAGCAGTAGCTTCTCTTGTAAAAACGTCAACTGTGTTGCCAACGCTTAACAAGCACCTCCTACTTC